AATCCTGAGGTTGGAATATGCTTTCTAATGTTTTAGTAAGACATGAAAGTGCTACTACTTGATGAAAGCACAAGGGACATGTACCCAGCTATGACTAGCATCAGGCATACGTCTCTTCAAAATGTGGTGTGTCAGTTTGTGGCGAACTTATCATGATCAATGTCAACACAACACTTGTTTTACTATCAACAGACCTGCAAACTTCCCTGTTAAGGTGAAGAACAGGTATTTTACACTTTCACTTGCCTGACTGAGCAAAACTGTTAGATATACACCAGGTAACATTTCTCTTCCTTTCTATAGTCTGATTGCACATTTTTATTTTGATGAGATTAAACACCTTTGACATCAACAGCCATCGTTCAGTTGTACACGTCTCCTTTACAACTCAATATCCTGCTCCATATGCATCTATATTCCCTACTGAAAGGGAATATGAGAAGATGGCTGCTATAGCAAGCTGACTGAAGGTTCTTTTCAGTCTTCTCTTTATCAACCATCTCTGTGTTTCCATGCTATGCTTTGTTATACATCTGCATTCATATTTATGTCTGTGTTTATTGTCCACTCGAAATCCTTAAGTAGTACCACCAGTGAAGATAAAATAAAATACCCTATATTAATTTAAAATCAGATCAGCCAGTTCTACATTGTTGCACATTGTGCTCTTCCAAAGGCAGCTATATAATTATAGGTACTTGGGTGCATAAAGTGATACGGAGGTTTCTATGGCAATTATTCATTTTAATTGAAAATTGTGTAGGAAAATCGTTTCATGTGCAGCATGCAATTTGCATTTGTTTCCAAAGAATCTGAACTTGCTCAGGGTGAGCTGTGAATTCATATTTTCCAGGAAGACACAATCTTTAAAATTCTGTCTGGGGGGTGGGAAACCAAGCGGGATCTTGGTAAGGCTGTTAAGCCTATTAAAATTTAAGACCATTTATCCATTTATGCAACCAGACTATCTATTTTTTTATTGTCAGGTAAAGATTTTATGCTTCAAATGAAAGAGGAAGAGTTAAAAATCAAATTAATACACAATGTCCTTGAAGCTACAAGGTAGAGGAACCAGAAAAAAAGAAGTGTTAGAAAGGACAACAAAGAGACAGCATGCTGAAGGAGACAGGTCATCAATGAGACCAAATCCACAAGATCAAACATTTGTATCTTCACATATTTCAGCTACTGTGTGTTAAAATAATAATGAAGACAAAGTTAGTTCCAGCTTTAATATATTTCAGAGTGTCAAAATAAGAGTTGGAAGGAAGCAACTGTTTTACCTTGCTTAGCTAATAAAATAAAGCTATAACTTATTTTCCTATAGGAGAATAGAATTTATTTCCTCCCTCAATTCCCATCACCACAATGAGTCAAACACATTTTAGACCTAAATTTACAATAAACACCAAGTCAACTACTTCAAGTGATGAGGACCTGGAAACAACCTCTGAACTGTGGTCTCATATTCACTAAATTTATAGTGTTGCCTTTTCTGAAACAAAACTCTACTCATTTTTTATCTATATCATTGTCAGACTCTATAGGCTAGGTGCCAAAAATATCTCAAGTTAAAAATAGTCCTTATTCTCCTTCATAAATATTAAATAAATATTAAATTGCTAGGAGGGTGGGGGAGGAAGTGTTCTTTACTAGCCACAAAATCCTCCTAACTGAGTAAGATCTGTACTTAAAAACATGTGGCCAGGGCAGTATGTGAGGAGAACCAGAAGAATAAGGTTAACAATGCAGCTTTGGTATTAGTGTATTTAGCTCATTGTATTTCCATACTTATTCAGAATATCTAAAACAGAAAAAGTAAGAATATGACTTCTAACTTCAATGTCCATGATTGCATCACAGTTCAGAAGAAAGCAAAATGACACAAACATGATTTTCACAGTATATGCCATCCATTTTGAATAAAATGGAGACTAATAATAAACCCCTTCTTGGAAGGCACAGGACTGGGAAGCAGACATTCCCTCCATCTGACCAAAGCAACTCTTTTTTTCCTGGCCCATGGGAAGTTCTATTTTGGTCAGAAAATGTCTGACAAGACAGGGGAACCAACCTGCTTGAGAAAGCAGTGTGAACATGAAAGCCGTCCCACCAAGGATAATCTAGCAGCAGAGGGCTTTTTACTGCATGGACAATCTGCTCTATTTTTGGCACCTGTTCTGCCATATGCTGACAGCTGTCATCTCGCTCATCTTCTGCTGCAGTTAGGACCCTCTTTTGATACTTACCTGGCTTCCTTTGGTTTACTACCTGACTCTCTCATAATTCTTAAAATATAGAGCAATCAATAGAAAGGTTTCCGGAATGCTTTTAATGCTTCCAGACGTAAAAGAAATATACTGTCATTCCTTTGTGTGTCATTCTTATGAGCACATGTATAGAAAATAACTTACTGAAGGGAAGTAAAGTTAAAGGCATGCAAATTTGATTTAGTTCTGAATGTGGCAATATGCACAGTTGCTCAGCTTTGATAGATATAAAGCCTACTGGTGGTGCTCCTCTTCTAAGGTTCTGTTTCCTACACAGAACTTAACCCTGCACCACTGTGTACTCTACACCTACTCAACAGTTTTCATGAATTTTCAGGGTTTGAGAAACACAGCTACTAAACAGCAATTTTCATGGTGCTGAAGGGAGAAGTAAGATCTGAAGGTTGTTTTTGGCTAACATTAAGAGACAGGTTTGAAAAGACTCTGGCGGAGGCACTGCTCACAATAAATTAGATGTAATGACTGCATCTAGTAGAAAGCTGCTTTTCATAGCCAAATTGTATGCCTGGCTGGGAGAAGTGGGAAAGGGGGGGTGGGGTGGGGAGGGGGAGGAAGAGAAAGCCTGTACAGTTGCACTTGCCGTCATTTACTGAGAAAACCACCAACATATCAGAACCATAAATATCTCTCTCCATTTTGGCTCAATAACGCAGGAATCAAAAACACGCAAAGAAGATCTCTTTCTTACTTATAAGAACACGTACATATACACACAGAAAAAAAATGCCAATGCAAGCTGTAACTTCATTTTCAGAAATGGCAGAATGTTTTCCTTGTAGGACTTGGATGCACTGTTCACTACCGTTGGTATACTCACGTCTGGAAATGTCACACAAGAATGCAAAGCTTTGCCAGCGTAAGAAAGACTAAATATCTCTGACTGAAGGACCTAAAGTTTTTCTTGACCCCATCAAGACATTTTCTGGTCCAACAGATGTACAGTAATCCCTTCATAAAATGAATGATCAAGTATTCCTCAAAGTCTTGGGACAAGCTAAAAGTTCAGTAAGAGTGTGGTCCTTTAAATTTACACACTTCAGCTCCTCACGTTTCCTGTGGGGAATATAAATTGCTTCTAAGTACTTACTATGCTGCATGCCATTCAAATTCTGTTGCTTCAATTCATTTTATTAAAAAGTAATGCAAACTTCAATTATTCATTGTAAAAGTACAGATTTAGCTAAAGTACACAGAAAATTCAATTCACACCAAAATGGCTACAAAGTTCAAATTAATCTATTTGCAGTCCTCCCACGTCCTTCTCAGCATCCTTTAAAATGTCACTTATTTTATAAAAGATATAGATTTTGTGAGTATTGATGTGCTCTATCAACAGACAAGTTCTCTCTGCTTTTAGTTTTGCAGACATTATTTACCCATCCTAAATCACTAACGATTACAGCTAAAATAAATGGGTCTATATGAGTAAAGGTTACAGGACTAGACTTACAGCTCAAAAGTTTGCACCTTATAAACCTCTCATCTTCAATACTACATTCAAAAGGTACTTATGATTTCAAAGAAATTGCAAATCAAATGATTACACGCTACAGGAAATTAGATAAAAGAGAAAGGCACCACTTCAGCACCATAAAGAGATTCTATTCAGCTATTATATTAATAGCAAAACCCCGTATTTCGATTATAGCTTCTGCAGGTATAAAATAACAGGTTTTAGACTCTACTTTTATTGAAGTGCATAGATCCACAAAGCATTTTCAGACCTGCAAGGTGTTCTAAAGTCTTGTAATCATTCAGCAAAGCATTTGGACAGCACATCTTTAATTTTAAGCAGAGGAGTGACTGCACATGTTAAAATATGTTCTAGACTATGTAGCACCTTTCAGAATAAATTCAAGCAGTAGAATTAAGTATAAAATACGGTTGAACTTCTGTACCACTGAAATCAACACCAAAGCTTTCGCATTTTTGAAGCCAAGTCATGAATTTCTTCCTCATAAATTTAGTTTTAATTTCTTTACGGAATCTAATGTAATCTTTATGTTAACATTCTATTATGTAAAATGTAATGCTTTTTCATTTCAGATTAAGATAAATGTCTTAGAAATATATCCTACTCCAGTGATAATGCCCTTCTTTTTGTAAGGAATGGACATTTTCCTGTCTTTTTTCCCCTCTAATTTAACTAAAATTAAAATATCGTGCATGGTATAATTGGAAAAATCAGGGCACTAAAAATGAGCATTTTTATTAGCTGTTACAGTAAGAACACCTACCACAGCAACTGCATATTGCACTAACAACCAAACAAAACTACAGTACGCTTGAAGCAAATAGTGGGATTATATACATACATATAAAAAAAAAATATATAAAAAATGTATATGTATACATACAAACACACAAACTCTAATAAAAGCAAGTCACAAGGTTTATGGATTACTTCTTCCCTTGCCAGCCTCTCAACACCCATAAATGCTCTTCCAAGATATTCTGCAACAATGTTTTCCAAATTAGATTGCAATAAGCATTTCAAATATTATTCTTTTCCTTTAATAATAACATACAATTTTATACACAAGAGCATACTTCAGTGAACCCCCCTGAAAAAAGATTGTATAATAATTAGAGCTGAAAACATATATTCCTAGCAAATATTTTCACATTAAAATATTAAAGGGAAATGGTTTTAAATATTTCTTTCTTAGAAAAAATTATGCAGAACCACGAGTTCAGGAAACATTTTACCTTTCTTGTCATCGAAGTACAGTGTCTGTTGAGCTGGATTTGACCACTGGAGGGAGGTGTTATCATTTTGATCGACCCTGCAGGTCAAATTTGCTGTTCCCCCTTCAACAACCGTGACGTTCTGTGTAAGTGGAAACTGCCCTTGGCTGCCTGAGGAGGGAGGGGAAGGGAGGGGAGGGGAGGGGAGGGGAGGGATGGAGAAGGGAAGAGAGAACGAGGAAAAAAAGAAAGGATTTAAGTTGTAGAACTGAATTTATTGCAGCGACTTCCCACAGTGACAGAGTCTGAATTCAGTGGGATCTATTCTGACCAAAGAAAGGTAATAAAATAAATTGAAAAAAATATATTCACAATATATTCTCTGTATACAAGAAACAGTAATTAAGAAGTAGGTGTTTTTCCCCCTCTTTTTTCCCCCTTGTAAGTCATGCTAATTAGTTCCAAAGAAATACTCTGCAATTTTATCTCCTCAGACATACCCATATATCCGGGATATGCCTCCGCATAGGGCTCACGTGCTACGTACCTACATAGAGGTCTCAGTACAGATAATATAGTTAAATGGCTGTTGAAAACATCACTGAAAGCATAACGTAAAAATCTGCACAGGATTTTTAAAATAGAGGGACACCCTATTTTAAAATTATTGACTCCTATTGACTCCCTGTTTCTTTTCTACGCTTTTTAAAGAACTCTCAGGACGATGTTTTTCCTGCCAGGTTTGGAAAGTTGTCGGAGAGCAAATGTAGTGTGAATCTAATACTCGATGCATCTTCTGTTGAGGGAATATAACCTGATCTCATATGAAAATGGAAGTGGTGATGTAGTAGGTCTCTTTCACGTCTGTGATTCTATCCCAGAGCATTATGAATCACATTAAGTGCTTGCTGAAAAGTCACTGGGAAGATTTCCAAATACCTCTACACAATACAGGAGCAGTATCACCCAGGTTCCTGAATCACAAGCGTTTTCAATGGCATAGTTAGACTAAAGTGTTTATGTATTGTGAGAACAGCACACACCTTGTCAAACAGCACAACACGTTCTGACAAAGAGTATCGCAACAAGGGAGCACAGTAAAAACATGGAAGTCATTCTTAACATGGGTGGGGACAGAAAAGTTCTTCAGTAATAAGCAAGGCACATCATTATCTGGGAGATATTTTATTCAAGGATACGATGCAAAAGACAGGCAATCCAACAGTCTAAACCAAATATATGCTGCTTTCTTCCCCTCCTTTTATACAGGTTCTATTAATACAAGAACCACTTAAGGGCAGGTAGAGCTGCTAGCATAAGTAGTATAATACCAAGACTGACACTCAAGTGGGATGTGTCAGAAGTGAAAAATCTCTCTGCAGTCCTACGGTAGCGAACAAGCTCATAGACATGTCATAAGTACATCAAGGAAATTATATATACAATATCCACTAATTATACGAATATGGAATCACAAATCCAGCATAAAACCTTCACAGAAACATCCTGCTTTAGTGACTCTCATCAGAGTTGTTCCCAGCTACGTTAAAGTAAGGCATGCCTTCTATATAGAAGGCATGATAATATAGAAGTCTATTATCTAATACACAGGTTTTCAGATGACCAGAGTAAGGAATTACTAAATAAAAGATTAACAACTGACTTCTATTTGACCTGCTGATATTGCCAAAAATGGAATTCTAGCCAGGTTTTGTTAGCTATTTCCCTATGTAAAATAATTTTGATGGTTTTAGGGCTGGTACAGAAGCATCTACATCACTGAAACCATTAGTGTTTAGGTAGTCTAACACTCGCCACTGTCTTGGTTTAAAATAAATAAATAAATAAATAAATAAATAAATAAATAAATAAAGGATTTCCATCGAAATGCAAATGTGAATAACTGGTATAATTTTGTATAAATATCAACTTCCTGCAGATGTCTAAAGATCAAAACTTACTATGTACTGATATTTACTATAAGAGGGTATTTACTATCAACAGGATAACAGATACAGTAAATAAAAATAAGGAATATTGAAAACACCATGGCTAATTTAAATGCTGCAAACAATAAATGCCAAAATTCTCATGACATCCTCTGTATCTGACACTTCATTAATCAAACCCTGCTTCTTGAAAACCACACGTTGAGAAATACTTGATGAGTGAAAAATCATAAACAAGGATGGGGAAAAAAAAAGAAAACAGAAAAGATTTGTCATTTCCTTCCATTTCTCTTCTTTCAATTCCAATGTGTCAAGGAACCTCAAGATATTGCATAAATTGCTTATCGCTTAAATTAGAATTTTAAAAATCCAGAAAAATGCACACAGCCTGTTATTACTTCCACTAAATTACAGGCATCTTACCAAAGAAATAACCTTTTAAAGTATGAGTTGTGGATAAAAGGCTATGTGGGCTAAAATATTTTCTGCATACAAGAAGCATTAAACAGAACCTAGTGCCAGAGATTAGCACAGTGAAATCTGTCATTTACATTAAAGACTAGGAACGGAAGATAGTTTAGTAACAATTGCTGTAATGATTTAGGACCCTATTAACATGATTTGGGAGATCTCCCCAGAATTACCCTCTATTCTCTTTCTGATAGTATAGTTCTTATCATGAAGGTATCAGTGTATATGCAGTCTATCCATTGCTAATGATTGTCAAATCATAGACTTGTTTGACCAGAAGAGTAGTTAGTAGGTAAACTTTTCTGAACAACCATTTAAATGAAAACTGTAAATGCCATGATCTGAAAGATGACAGAAGAACTTTATTTTCTCTGGCCACTCTACTGCATGCTGATGTTTTAAAAGCAAGAATTAATCTAGCATATAAAAGTGAAACCAAAGCATTCATCCTATCCCTTACCAATACAGAAGCTGTGTGGATCTGGAGAAGATGCACATAGCTTCATAGGAAGCTTGGAATGGAGAAAGAGGTACAGAAAAAATGAGCCATTTAATCTGGAAACTAGCCCAAGTGGAAATAAAGGAGCCTGTGCGGAACAGAGAAAAATAGACAAAGCAAGACCAAAAGAATGGATAGTGCACACCTCTTAATAAAGACCAAAATTATTAGTCAGTGATGGGAAAACTAAGACAAAGAAACATTTCTGAGATTTACTTTATTGTTTGTATCAGCATCTAACTCGGGTTATTGAAGTAGGAACTTTGGGGCTAGAAGGACTGGAGAAGGTTGCAAAAGCCTATACCAGAACATTACAGACAGCATCAACATTGTGCCATTTAACACAGCATTATAAGTGTCAAAGAAGTGGTTTTATGCCACTAAAGATTAGAACTGGTCCTGGGGGGGACTGACAGTATTTTGCAGGAGAGGCCTTGTTTCTGTTGAATAGGTAGGTAGCATGTGGCTAGGAAGCATGCCAGCGAAGCTGCCAGCCCATGCAAACGCTCAGTGCAATGGAGAACCCAGGCCATCGGTGATGCAGACAAGGTGTCCTCAGCCAGCTCTAGGTACCACCATTGAGCTGCGGGGGCAGCAGCCTCCCGCTGCAGCACAGTGAACCAAGGCTGGATGCCACTGACTGGAATCACATCATCGGTCCCTGAGGCACTTGCTTTGGAAAACAGCCTTATACCTGGGATAACTTACCACCACTGCAAAAAACCATTCATACTCCCAGCATTGAGTATGCTGGTTCTGACCCATGTGAATGGTCCCATTAAGTCAAGCCTTAGTGATGAGCCTTCAATAAGAAAGCAAGCCTAAAGACACTGCCAGATTGAGTCCAGCAGTTAAAAGAAACAGTTTTCATCATCGTTTCAACAACTGGATGCTACCACTGTGGTCCTTTAGTGTGAATAGTTCTTAATAGAATTATTAAACATTCTTGTCTTAATTTCTTCTTTAACTCTGGGAGCAGAGATTGAACAAGACAATGTCCTCTAACAAAAGCATTACGCCTTGACTTAAGTTGTCCAGTAATGGAAAACTTAGTGGCACCTTTGGTAACTTATTTTAGAGAGCAACGGTCATCATTGTTTAAACAAGAAAACAGGATTTTATTCCCTGTCTGAATTTGTCTCGCTGCAGCACCTAGCATCCACTGGCTCTTGTTATATCTTTTTCCCTGATCTGAAGAGCCCTCTATTATCAGATTTCTCTTTCTTTTGTAGGTACTTAGAGACTGTGATCATATCATCCGTTAAACTTCTCTTTGATAATCTAAATAAATTGAGCTCCTAAGTCCTTCTGTAGAAATCATGTTTTTCTAATCCTTTAATTAGTCTTTGTCTCTTCTCTGTGCCCTCTTCAACTTGTCATCTTTTTTCTGAAGTGTGCAGCCCAGACCTGGAAACCCCACTGTAGCAGTTGCAGAAGGAAAAAATACAAAGGTGATGCCACTTCTCTACCAGCACTTCATATTATTGTTTGCACACCTAAATGAGTCCCCTTGGCCACAGGGTCAGATGGAGGGAGACCCAAGTTTGACTGATGCTCTACCATGATGCTGGTGTTTTTTCTCAGATACCACTCCAAAGACAACCCCCCATCCCAGTTCTCCTCCTGTAGCTCTTAGATGTATGTCCCTATGTTTCACTGGACTGAAACATGTTTCTTTGAGCCCAGTGACCTGTGCTCTTCATTATTTCATATACCCACAGTCTTTGTGGCATCCACAAATACTGCTGGCAACAATTGTGTTTCCCAGAGCATTTCTAAAAACCAACTCTGAAAACCATCCCAATAGTACAGTACCAACCGCTTTTCCTAAGCGGACAAATGCACAGAAACGTGACTGTTCAGTGGTGAGTTCTTGTTTATCATTATGCTTTCACCCTGTTTTTTCAAACAGTTCTAATCTGTTTAATGCTTGTAAGGTTGGTTTTGAATAAGTTTGGTTTATTACTCAAGATGTCATGCTATTTCAAGTCAAAGGCCTTACAGTAGTCAAAAATATTTTAAAGATTATGGTTACCTTTTTCTAGACATAACTGTAATTGAAGAAGTCATGAAAATATTAAATTATTCAAATATTCACTTATAAATATATTCAAAAACATATTGAAAATAAAGTCATTCCTAACGAAGATTTGTTTTAAAACAGAAGTTTCTATTAAGGCAGAAAATTTAAGTACAAACTAATGTTCATATTTCCTTTCATGCTGGTAACATCAGTGAGGCATAATCCCATGAAACTAAAATATTTGAACAGTATTCCTAAATCTACTATTGACTTCTTACGTGACCTCAGGCAATATATTTAATCTACGTTTTGCTAACCATTCTAAACAAAAGAAATAATGATGCTTATTAAACTTGTAAAAAGATTTGGCTCAAAAAGGATTAAAAAATATAAATATATTTTTTATTTCTTATTTATGTGCTTCCACTTCCTCTCATCTGATTTCAGTCCATACTGCTGCTGCTATGAGACAGAGAAATGTACTTATGGGGAATAAGGACTTGAAACAGTGATAAAATAAACTTTATAATGCTTCCATGTGAGTTTATGGATGAAAATTTAT